GGGCCAAGGCAAAGGGGCGTTAGGGAATTTAAAGATCAGGATATATGCGAACCCCAAAGTAATTTAGTCCTTTATACGTGCATGCAGGCGAGTTTTCTTGCAACATCAATCATTTGTGAAAATCTGTCCTATAAGCCACTTGTGAGGCTGAGGTATCCACCTCAGAGCTCAGTGTCAACAGAGTTTGCCAGGGTAGGCGACTCACTTGGAGGCAGTCCACACAAATTTTCAGTTTATCTTGTTCAGTTTTATCTTCTTGGAGAGCAAAGTAGTCACTGAACTGGTTATCTAAGTTGTTCTTCCATTCTTTTACTGCTTCTTCAACCTTTGTATTAAGAGATTTTATTTGTTCTGCATGGCTATCTATGACTGTTTGGATGGTCTTGCCATAGTTAGTCATTCCTGGTGTTGATAACTTTTGTTCAAGACTGAGGATTGTGTTCTCGAGTTATGTCATCCTGGTGTCTTGTTTTGTTAGCGTCTCTCGAAGATTCATATTTTCAATAACTAAGGTGGAGATGCATGACTTTAGGGTATCTGGATCGTTGGTACTACCTGAGAGACTACTTGGTAGGTTGAATCCGGGGAAGAGAGGGGTGGATGGGCTGGTGGCAGCCATGTTTGTTGTTATTGTTGTGGTGTCGCCTTGAGCGGTGGTGAGAGGGGTGGTTGCTGGGCTGGCGTCCTCCTGGCTACACTTGTTGAATAGTTGATTTTTCGGTGTTTTCTTGCTGGCCTTGGTGCTGTTTCCTCTGAGATTGCGCCTCATAAAACTGAAGCAACATGGTTCACTTGCGGGAAGGATTGACAGACTTGCCTACCTGCTGGTTAAGTATGGTGCACTCTCTCTCTGGCTTCTGCTTTGCCATCTGTCACCGTGGTGTACACTTATTATTCTATCTGTACATAATGTACATACCTGTATATAGTGGGTGAAGGCAAATATACATTATAGTCTACTGCTGTGTTTTTGTTCCAATTCCCATTACGACCAGGTCTTACAGGCCATTTGTTACCTGTGTTCGTAATACTTCTTCACTTGAATACAGAAAAAATGTCAGGAGCAGTAGAGATGTGAAGGCTATGTAATGAGTCCGTCGGGTGAAAGGTGATGGGCTGATTGCTGTTGATGGACTGATAACTGTTGCACATGTCTTACCAACCTGTCGGTATTGTATACCATTTTGATAATTCATGGTGTAAACTTAAATACAGTAAGATATTTTGTGTAACTTTACTTAAAAAGAGAAGAACAAGTAAGAAGTTTAAAATTTACAGTTTTGGTGTGAACACTACTCCCAGAGTTTTCTCACTCGCTGAATGATTCTCTTAAGAACATAAGAAAGGAGGAACACTGCATCAGACTTGTAGGCCCATCCTAGGCACGGTCTTCTCAAACCCCTAGCAAAAAAATATTTGCCCCCAAATCACTCTCAATGCTACCCAAGGAACAAACTTTGACTCGTGTACCGTCCAACTTGAAATACAGCGCTGCAGTCTAGAATTTGCTCTTTTTCCAGTAACTGTAGTTACTCAGCCGATACCAGATTTATATCAACCATTCACTGAAGCCCATGGTAGACACTTGCTTGTCAACCCAAAAAGACCTAGCATCGCATGCAGTTGCTGTGTATCCTCAGCATCAGTGTTGCAAATAGTTGTAGCTACTAACCTGCAACAGTTTAACATTATTGATCTTGTCTGACAGGCAAGATAATGTTCGCTCAACTCTTGAAAGTCGTCACTGAAGTTTTCAGAAAGTGCAGAAGCGCACCTAAAGTTTTACTTAATAATTACAAAAATATATGTCGTGTACTGTTGGCTTATCAGTTTAAGAGTTGATAACCATACAAACAGGCCTGTGTAAATTATGAGGCAGGCCTGGATTAGCTAGTTTTTTAGATGCTGAATCTCGTATTTACTGGAATATGAGGTAAAGGCTAGTAATTATATAAAACTAAGCCTTAGAATTGTTTCTCTCCTTAGATAAATTGGGATAACATGGTATATCTTGCTTGATTGCATAGTTGTATAATTTATTTATGTTAATTTTTCGTATCTCTACAGTGACAAGTATTACAATTTAAGTGAAGTTCTTTGCATACACATACTTGTGTATAAATTATTATTGCGACCTTTTTTTTTTTTTCATTTTTCTTTTCGCCAACACAGACCTGACGGTGAAACTGTAATTGGAGTAACGTGTGTTGGCCGACTGGTCCACATTCACCATTCCCAGAAGAACTACAGCGTCAGAGTCTCAGGCAGGAGACTAGCCAGTCCTACCTCAGACAGAACTTGTAACTGTACCCCTAGACTGCAAAACAACATATTACAGAAAGGTGTGAGAAGCAGGGCGGGATTAAGACATGGGCTTGAGGGGCTGCAGCCCAGGGTCCTCTGTCAGCTGGAGGGCCTCCAGAGGTGTTCTCAACTTAAACTGATGTTTTGGAGAAATTTGTTTCCAAGAAATTACGCAAAGCAAATGTTTGAAATTTAATGGTGGTTAGTCTTGTAAAAATAAATTTGATATTTCTTTAAAACTTTTTTCTTTTGAAAATATCACTAGGGGCCCCCCTCCCCCGGGGTACCTGTAGCCCAGGTGCCTACAAAATGTTAATCCGGTTCTGGTGAGAACCTGGTTTTAGCGAGTAAATGACGTCCAATTCTGAATATTTGGAAGCTTGCCCGAGCTAGTATGTTAACTTGTGTAAGTAGGTATTGGGTTTATTTCCGAGTGCTTGTTTACCCTAGTGTTTATTAGCTTGTCTGACCTAGTTGTGAAAGTAATGATGTCCCTCTGAAACGTTGAAATGTGCAATAAAAACATTTTTGGGGCTATAGTCTGAAATATAGACTGTACACTAGTGTGCATATTAATTGGGACAGTGATCAAATAAAACATTTTTTTTAAAAATTATTATATAAAAAATGCACAGTAATGATACAACAGATAATTGATTTAATAAGAGATGACTGCCCTTTGTTTTTATAAGTATATTGCTACGCGCTTTGGCATAGAATTGACCAATGTTGAAAACGTTTTGGCAGGTTCTTTGTGTTGGTACCAGGTCTTAATAACAGCAGCAATTAACTTCACAGTTGAACAGTCCTATTTTGCGATACTGTGTCTGGTTATTGTTCATAGATTCTCAATTGGGTTGAGGTCAGGAGAGTTTCCAGGCCAATTTAGAACGCTTAACTCACCCCCTTTGAAGAATGCCAGCATTTTTCTGGAAGTGTGGCATGGAGCAAGATCCTGTTTGAAAATGTCTTCTCCATTAGGAAAGTCTCTATACGCAATGGGATGCAAATGATTTACCGGAATTGTTTCTATAAGTACCCATCGTCCCAAACATTTAATGCCTGGTTTACTAGAACCTTACCTAACCAAAACCTAAGCGGTGTTGTCTTCTATAGTCACTGTCCATCGTTCCCTCAACGATAACTAGCCGTCCAGCGCCTTTAGCAGTAAAACTACCCGCAAAACATCATTAGGTGGGTGTTTTGATACTTGTTGATTGTATCCATTCCGAGAAGTTCGCATTTGTTTCCGTCTCACTACACTTATCTGTACCCATGTATTTCAAATGCATCTCATCTGAAATTGTAACTTTTCTCCATTTCTCCATTCATCTATCGTCCATCTTCTATGATCGAGTGCCCACCACAGCCGTTTTTTTTCTTCATAGTGACAGTCAGTAATTGTTTCTTTCTTTACTGGCTTTCTGGCAGTTCTGCCCACTCGAAGGAGCCTTCGTCAAACAGTTGAAGAATCAACATTTACGACAGCTGAAGCCAAATCTCTCTGTAGATCTTGCTGGTTTTCTTGGGATCCTTCACACTATTTCTTATAATAACCTTGTCATAGTGAGGTGTTGTCTTGCATTTCTGCCATATCTTCACCGACGCAGCGCTCCATAATTACCAGTGTTGCCAGCTCTCTTCAGAATCCGAGCAACAGTTGACTTTACTAGGCTCATTTTCGGCGATCTGTCTGATACTCACATCAACATGTTTTCTAAGAGCTACAATACTTGCACGCTTCCTAGGTGTAACATCCATCGTGAATTTCAACAGTAATCATGAATTTGAAAGGGAGAATGGGGCAAACCACGAAGCATGCTTGCAGGCATAACCTTACAGATCAACAGCTGTTGTAGCCCTGGCGAGTGTGAGGGTAACACTACTGTTGGATGGTTGCCAAAAGTCAGTAGCAAAGTCCTCTGAAAAGAACCCAGATTACATTAATTAAGCGGGAGACTAAGACATATTATGAGATAATCACAAAATTTAATCCTGTCCCAGTTAATTTGCACACTACCCTGGTGTGTAGAAATATTAGTGAAGTACAGCTGTAATGGACTTCGTGTTTCTAATTTATAAAGCCTAGATTTTCAGTAGCATAGTTGGTAATACAATGTCCTGAGGATTGATTACAGTCCATACCCCGGCCGGGATTGAACCCGCGGTCAGAGAGTCTCAAAACTCCAGATCGTCGCGTCTGGAGTTTTGAAACTCTCTGACCGCGAGTTCAGTCCCGGCCGGGGTATGGTTTTTTTTACAATCGTGTCATTACGATTTCGTGAGTCTTGATTACAAGCCTGAGCTAGCTACCATCTGCAGCTCATAAGACTGCCATCCCCACGAGCCCTTTTAGGGCGGGGCAGATGGCAGACCAAGGCCTAGCTTCTCCCTACGAGCCCCGTGAGGGCGGGAAATGTTGCTAGGCCTGGGGACAGTTGGTCCCAAAGATGAGGAGTACTGTACCTCCTCCCATGGGAGACTTAAGTCTCGAGACACTCCCCAGATAGGGAACCAAGGCCGGGTCACCACTACTTGGAAAAGACCCGGGCCGGGAGAATACCGGCGAATAAAAAAAAAAAAAAGTGTTTCTATGATCTAATTGTGAATACTATGGTGCTTGTTTGTAGAAAACAAAGTCCTTGTTAGTGTCGTTAAACCTTATTTTATGAGACATCATATACACCTAATAATGTCTGTGAAGGTTAATAACTAAAACTCCTGTTATAATAAATTAAATTTGAATGGTTTCCTAGGGAATTAGTCTGACATTTTAGGCTCAGTTACAGTTCATAGATCTACGTCTGTTAATGTTAGACTATTGTAGTCGGCGGAAAATATGCTCAAAAATATTTTCTTTTAAATAGATTATTTATTTCTTCATGTGATTTCCATGAAGACTTTTGTGTGAGTCGTATTGAGAGTGTAAGTCGGCGTCGTGGTGTGGTGGTAGCGAGTGTTAGCGACGACGGCACCTGGGCGGCAGCTTGGGTGGCAGGCGGCGACTTGTACCTCTACAGAGCTCGGGGAGCGTCATTTTCCGCTGCCACAGGAGACGCAGACACAGCTGCGTCACTTGGTGAGTGTGAGCACAACGGACACAGCTGCGTCCCCTTGGTGAGTGTGAGCACAACAGACACAGCTGCATCACTTGGTGAGTGCGAGTACAACAGACAAACTTACGGTGAGGAGGTTAAAAAATGGGTCCAGTGGGACCCAGAAACCTTCTATGGATGTAAAAAAACACTCGTACTTGGTGAGTGTTATGTACAACAACACCCATCACTTGGAGTTTACAAACTCACCTGCCATGAGTGCGATACACAGACCACAACGTTGCATCACTTGCGAGTGTGAAGACAAAACAATACGCCGATTAAATCCCCAGTGAGCAATTTTGAAACTTCCTCATCGTGAAAACCATTTAAAGTTCGTAGCTAGCTGGGCCCAGTTGAGTTTTGATATGAAAGCACACCTTTTGGTGGCTGTTTAGAGGGACTAAGAAGCCAGTTTAAACCCTCATCAAATACATTAAAGCGCAGACAACTGCAACGGAAAAGTTATTAAGAAGGTCTGTTTAGACCTTACCAGTTTTAAACCCAAAAATAAGGAAGCTTCAGCTTAAAGAGAGGAACCTTCCCCAGTTAATCCAATTGAATTTAATGATGAGCCTCTTGCCACGAGTTCCCATTGTACTTTAGAGTATATTCCAAAAACATTGGTGTACTAACACAACAGACTGGTTGCTTGTACCTTCAAGCGCCACTGTGAGATCTGTAGGGTGATGAGGTACCAAGTTACAAGTTTACTCTATATACTTTCTCTCAGTAAATTGAATTATTTAATTTTGTACCTCAATAAACATGTGATTAGCATGCAGCTTGTTAATGAAAAGTAGGTCTGATCAAGTGCAGGAATAATAATAATGTGTGTGGAGGGTGTGCGAGGTGTGGGTGTGAGCGGGGCGGCGCCCAGCCTGGAGCAGCGAGCACAGAAGGAGGCAGCTGACCGTCGTAGGTCAGCCATGGAGAACCAAGCGGCGCTTCTCCAGCAGAAGCTCTCCAAACTTAAGTGGGACTTCAAAAAACTAACTCTAAGGTAATTTTAGGTACTGTTTGGTATTACAAGTACTGGATTACATGTAGACTTAGTTCTTTGGACTTTGCATAGATGTTTAATTAACATCTGAGTACCTTGATTGACAGAGATGTTTCGCCAATCTGTGGTTTTTTGAATCCAGTACGAAGAGTAAACATTGGAGATGGTACAAGTAGAGTGGTAATTTGAGGTGGTCAGTCCCTCAACCTTGATAGCAGGTGTTCACTACCTCAGTCAAGATACCCAGATGTTACACGTGTATCTTATTCATCAGTTTGTCGGTACTAAATATCATTAATGTCAATAATAACTATATAGGCTTAGCTGTGTAGGGTAAGCTATATTAAATTTGACTTTGGGAAGTGTGTAGAGTGAGACGTGTAGACATGTGCTCGCTAACCTTCGTAAAAATCATGTGGGAATTTGATTTAAAAATCAAAATTTTAATGTTAAAATGAGTAACTGTAAATAGTTTCCCTGGTTACTACAATTCTATATTCATATTAAACGCTAAACCATTGGTTGTTATTCAGCGCAAAGAAAGGTGAAGGCTTTATCCCCCGTCACTTAATCGCAAACCAGAAGAATTTTCTCGAAGCCAGGATTAAATGAACTAAACCCTTTAATCGTCAATTAATTAATTACTTTAATTCACTAATCACTCATTAATCAGTACTAACTCATCTTTAGTTCTTGAGGCATAACATGTGGTAGCTGGCCAAGTTGTTAATATGTTCATAACTTAGGTATTACTAAGATAACTTACTAACTCAAAACTTGGTTTTCACCTCTCACACTTTTTTCCTAACTGCTTACATCCAACAACATTTCTGAACGTGTCAGTGTTTGTAGTGGTTTACACTGCATCTTATGTTTGCATATTTTCCAAGAATCGTGGGTTAATAAGCACCTAACTCTTTCCAACAATATCTAAGCAAAAATAACTCCCTTTTATTTGATAAACTTAGAATGACAACTACTTAATATTAGGTAGGAATAACTAAATAAACACTGAATGCATCCTTTACAATTATACTATTAACAGAACAAAGTTACATACACAGGTCACTGAGCCAAGTGGCAGCACTTAGCCTTCACCCTGAGACCTCTATATTGCTTCTGATTTTTGCTCAGGACTGTCTCCCAGGCAGTTTTCTTCCACCCATAACTGTTACTATAGCTTCAACTTCCGTGAAGTGTTTCCCTCGTGTAACTGTTAATAGCTTGACTCTACATCAACCCCTCATTTAATTCTGCCTCTCCCAGGCAAGTTATCCCATTTGTAACTCCTTGCTATCTCGACCCCTCACCAGCACCTCACTGGATTCTAACTCATGCTTCTTATCACAGCTGGGAGTAGCGGAAGACACTCACTTTCCATCTCTTTCTTCTTTTAATCTAAATAGAAGTAAAAATTACTTTCCAGTGTTACATATAAACAATATTGGTATGTTCTCACTGGTGTTTTCTCTTTCTCCCTCAGCTAAACTAAAAACTAGACATAAGACTGCAGCTTAAGCTTGGAATGCTGACTTTCTATCTCAAAAGTCTTAAACGTAAGGACTTAGCGTTTTTGTCGGGTATGTACGTAAGCTACACTGCAAAACATTTATCATTATTTATATTAAAAAACTTGTCAATAAATTGTCAGTTGACCGTCTGCAAAGACACTGCAAAGGTTTTAAACTCTTAGTAACACATCAATTCTTGTAGGGTATTTGTGATACCGACGTGGTACATCTAAGGACGGGTCTAAGGTATTAGAGGTTTAAGCCCAAGCAGTGTAGAGGTTTGGGGAATTCTTAACATTCTAAACCAGTCAGGCAGAGTAAACGCTAGAGTATAACCCAGTCAAACAGAGAAATGGCTAATGTATGTTTTAATTGTCTGGAGATAATAAGCCATTACCAAGCCAGACATATAAACAATTAGACATTGACTCAGTAGGGCGGGAAGATGATTAGAACCTTAGTCAGTCTCTCAGGGCGAAGACAAAGTCACACCTCAGACAAGGCAACGGCTACACTGTTACCCCAGTCTGTCATAGTGAAGATTACTGTTGATCCTAACTCAGTCAGGCAGGAACACGACTAAATCTTTCTGTCTGGGTGACGGCTGTAGCCTAAGATAGTCAGGCAGTGTCTTAGGGCAGTTATGTACTTTATCAGAGCGTTATTATGAGTTATTCGTGTTTATAGAGCCGATGAAATTGACGGAGGCCGAACATTGTTGGAGGAACTGCCGCTGCACCCCACCATTACCTCGGCTCTTCACCAGCACACCACCAGTAACATGAACCAGGTAAAGACTCCTTGTCCATCACCACTCTCCTCTGTTATAAGGACCCTCCATTATCATTATCACCACTCTACTCTGTTATGAAGGCCCTCCATCACCACCACCTTGCAGGTAAGCCTTGATACTTTTAAAGGTCTCCTTATCTAAGGAATCAGAGCGGCTTTCTCTTTCCTAGGATCTAAGCTAAATACCACTTAACCTCCATTTATTTTAACTTAAATAGTGGGGATATGTTTTCATTTGGTGAAATTCCATCCAGCTGATATGATACGGTGAATATTGTTGTCCAACTATACCGAAAGGAAATTGGATCAACTGATTGATAGTGGAAGTACTGTTAGTTGTTGTATCTGATCTAGAACTGGCAACCGAAAGTGTATAGTAAACTTCTCACATTATTACCCAAAATTTAATGGTTGCACCGTCGACCTTTTCTTCTGTCAAGTAAGCGGTTTTGCTCAGCCATTTCTGACTGGCTACAAAACCTGGCAGAATAAAAGGGTAATTCCCTGGAAATCACCATTTTTTTGTTGTGTTAGGGATTTAATCAAGAAGAAATTTCTTATATTTTTGTTTAATTCTCAAGAAAGATTTCACATTTTCTTCAAATATCAAATGAGGTTATTACCTGTTAATTGAGCGACTGTGACCACCCCTCTGGAGCCTTCACAGATATGAACTAAAGTCGAAATCTATTTTCAACCCAGGATTCCAAATTGGCCTGTTATCCCGGGTAATGGGAAACAAAATAAAGACAGCAGAAAAAGTTTAGACATATTATCTTCAACCAATTTAGAACAGCAAAAATGTACACATGTACAGTGATAAGTATAGTGCACTCCACGGTAAGCAAGGCAGAAATAGAAGCCACAAGATAGCAGACCGTGTTTCAACCAGCTCTAGAATGGGAATGACCTACCCTTTTTTACAGAGGGCGCAGACGACAGGGGTTGCCCTTTACTCCCTGCTGACGTTGCAAATGGTGTCGTTCTGGCTGGTGTCTCTTTTGGATACTGTTGTCGAGATGCACCATGAGTAGTTTGCCTCTCCACAGGTGGACCATATGTTGAAAAGCGTGGCTCACCAGGTGACTTAGTTGCTGACGTAGACGTTCTCCCTCCGGCTGGCACTTCATTCTCCAAGGTTGACCTCTGCTCATGCCAGGCTGTTGAAAAAAAGAGACGGGACCGCTCGGACAAGGAGCGGGTTAGTTTCGAAGGATCAGCCAACCGGCTGCCTCCAATGCAGTGGTTAAGTCACGATCCTGCAGAAAGACTCGAACCTGGTTCCCATGCCGGGGAAACGAACCCGGGGCCCCCTGGGGTTTAAAGCCATGTCTGCTATCTTGTGGCTTCTATTTTCTGCCTTGCTTACCGTGGAGTGCACTATACTTTTCACTGTACAAGTGAAAATATTTCTGTTCAAAAATTTGGGGAAGGATAATTAATAAAAAACTTTTTCTGCTGTGTTTTATTTTTCTCCCTTACACCCCGGGGGTAACCGGCCCATTGGAAATCCGGGGGTTTTAAATTGGGTAGCCGTCCGAGAGCGGAGCTGGACTTAGAGAAACGGTTGAGCTTTGGGTGAAATCGAGCAGAAAATTGTGCAGCTTGCTGTCTGGGATTGCATTAGCTTGCTACGCTTACAAATTTTTCGTGTCAGTTACTGTTATGTCACCTTGCTATTGTGTGACGTTTAAAAAAGCTCGCACTAGCTTTCGTGTGCTCGCTTCGTAGGGTCAATCTTCTAGAACAGTGTCTGTCGGATTGTTTTAAAAATTTTGGCCGGTTTTACTCCCGTTGGGTGGGAAAATTTTTGCAGTGGGCTTTTGCTTGACGTATCTGCAATCGTACTGTGATAGTAACGGCCCCTGCAAATTAACGGTTACTTGGGGAAATTCTGCAACGACTGGGCAAAGCGAAAAACTTATGCCACCTAGACAGTCAGATCTTTTTGGGGCATTCTTTCATAATCATTCGCTGCCGCCCACGGTAGGTGGGGTTTTGTGTTGCCCCCTCTGCGTTTCAGGCAGTACATCAGTTCGCAACACCCTTTGAGTATGAGGACGTGTGCTGCTATTTTCCAACAGGGCGCTGCTAGCAACAGGGCACAACACTTTTTGCGTTGGTTGACCCGGGGGGGCTGTCAGGGGAGCCACGATGGATTTTTTCCCCAACGGCATTATCCGTGATACTACGGTACGCAAATGAAGAGATATGGGGTGTAGCACAAAAGGGGCGACCGGTTTTCGTTAAAATGACGTCAGCAAATTTACGAAGCGTGGGGTAAGTATAAGGCCCCATTATGCCGCAATTCAGCTGATCAGACGTTTCATGATGTATCACGATACTACACATGGGTAAAAAAAAGAATGTGCCTTTGAAGCGACTGATTTTGTTATAAAAAGATGAAAAACTAATTAGGTACGGTTTCATATCCTCTGCAGGTCGGGGGGGGGCCGAGGCCCTTTAGCTGAATTTTGGAGGAACATTTCAGTCAAAATAAACCTTACGTCATCCCAACCGCCCCTAATTTATGTTGCAACATTTTCAAATAAAGTAATGTAACAATGCGGGGCAACGTCGTACGTGTCGGCTTTTGGGGTCGTATGACCACTAGGGGGCCAGTGTGAACTCGTGGGAATCCCAAAATATCAAAAAACAGCAAAAAAATGGGAAAGAGGTCGAGGAATTTTGAGGGACAGAACGTCTTAGCACCGTCCTACAACGGCTCTTGGAGTGAAGAGGTAGAAAAAGGCAGGAGAAGCTTTGGAGGATAAAAACAGCGAGAAGAATCCCGTCATGGACATAAAAAAAGTATTTGAAGAGACTTGCCCACTATGGGGGAAAGGATGTAGCGGCGTCTTTAGTGAAGGCACGGGATGTTTTGTTAGATGAGCGACGCAACTGTTGGAGGATCCAGGTGAAATTTGGGATGGGTTGAACTCATGGAGGCGACGGAGGAAGCAGAGTTGTGTGGCGGGGAGGGGTAAATGTAGAAAAAGTGGAGGTGCACACGTATACTAAAGAAACCAATGCGGGTGGAGGGTGGGACCAAAAGCGAACTGCGACCCCCATCAACTCAGACGACGGTTACTCCCCCCAAAGGGCCCGGGGAAAAAGTCTTGGGCGGATGACAGAGGACAGGGAAAAGTGAATCCACGAAAAAAGGGGTTTACAAGGTGGTTCCAAAAAAAAGGGGGGAGGGAAAAGGGGTGGTGTAAAATGTATAAGTAAAAAGTATCCCTAGAACTAAAGGAAACCCCCCATTAAATTTGAAAGGTTTTGACAATAAATGTAACGGTTTGAGATCGAGCGGAAGCGAAAGGGGTTTAAAAATTTTTGATGCGCAAATGGGAGGGGGTATTTTCCAAAAACAATTCAGAATTGGAATGGTTAAAATGGGGTTTTATGATGTTATAGGGAAAATATCGACGAGGTTAAAAGGGGGCGTCCCCTTCGGGTAAAGGAAAATACCCCGTTTGTGTACCCAATGAAAGGGGGGGGGAGGGGATTAGGGTGGAGGGTTTAGGGGGTAGAGCACACATAGTTTTGTATGGTAATGGGCCGGCCGAGGAGATGTACGATTTAAAAAACTCATTTTGTACAAGAGATTGTTATTTCTACGTTTTACCAAATTGCGAAAATAGGGGCGACTGGAATTTGTTAATACGACGAAAAGATGTGGAGCCTCGGGGAGGGTTTTTGCTTGGGATTCCTGGGTTTTTGCGAGTGTGGGTTTAATGGATGTGTGTGGGGGGGGGGGGCATGGGGGAGAATTTTTATTAGACGAGTTATGCGGGAATTGGATAGAATGTACGTGTCTAGTCGATTACAGTGCGGAAGTAAAATTGAAAAATGTGGTTTTTTTCGGACCCAAAAGGGGGTTTTTTAATGGATGGAAATATTGAGGGTGTCCGAGGGGGCCATCTTTTTGGAAATTTAAAAGTAAAGTTATGAAGAGGGAGGGAAATCTTTTGTTTTTTGGGGATATGTGGGAAACGCCTTGTGGGTTTAAACACCTGGAGATGTGGATTTGGGTTTAATTGGGGGGTATTACAAAAAAAATTTTTAAATGAAAATAAGGAATTACTTTTTTGTAATAAAGAGTTGGGAAAATAAATACACACATTAATATAAATTAATTTTAATATTAAAAATCAACATCTTTGGTCTAGAGGATTGAACTTTAAAAAAAAAAATATGACATGTACTATAAAAAATTTTTAACAGCATTTTTTAAAAAAAAAATTAATAACCTACACGGGGACAATCTTGACATTACTTCCCCATATTATATCTCATGCTAAAACAATAAATTATAAAAAACATTTTTATAAAAAAATTACAATAACTGCCTCTCACGACCGAAGTCAGTCACACGAACTGTTCATGTACCTCAACCAAGGCCATCTTCATGTCCCACGACACCCTTTTCATCTATGTTCCACTACGGGCCTGTGCATATTCGTGTTTTCCCCTCCATCATACTCCCCTGTCAACTACGTCCTGGGGCCCAGTTTCAGTGAACCTCCAACCTTCTTCATGAATTCCCCCAAAAAAATCTGACGACCCGGCCCCCAGTTGACAAGAGACGGGAGTCCACAGACATCACCGGGAGTCCAGTAAATCCTCTCCAAAAGGGGGTTTTACACACCCAACCCAAAACCCATGCTGCAGCTCACTGAATGCGGCCCCCAATAATGAGGCCAACAGACTCAGTGGCTGCGGTGAGCGGGTTTTTCTAAAAGCCGTAGATAGGTAATTCGGGGGTCAGGTACCTAAGATAGACGTGTACCCTGAGAGTTCAGGTACTTAATGTTGAACCCGTAGCGGGACCCTTTGGGGGTCAGGGACCTACTGCTTAGGTGGTACACGAGGCGCTCAGGTACTAATATTTCTAAAGCCGTAACGTTACCCTTTGGTGGAGGTACTCTGCTTTGGTGTGCAGCGAGGCGCTCTGGACATAGTTTACAAAGCCCCCGTAGATGTACCCCCTTCGGT